GCGCCTGAAGCCGTACTTCACGCGGTAGTGCGACTGCGCATGAACCATATCGCTGTTTTTGTGTATGCGCGTATTTTCTGTTGGTTCACCCCGACTTTGCCTTTGTACTTTCCGAGCATCAGAGTGATGCCTTTTTTTTCTCAGAGGGGGAATAAAGCCACTTGGCCGCTAGTTACGGCGAGCGCAAGCCATGGCTGCCCTCGAGAATGGAAGACGATGTTCTGGGGCAGCGCGTGCTCTGGCCAGTTGTTTATTATTGAAGCAGCCATCTTGCCAGTTTTCAGTGCGTCTCCCCGCCGGCTCAGTTCTTCCTAGTTGAAGACCTTTTGTAGCACGTGACAATATATATATATATATATATATATATATATATATATATATATATATATATATATATATATATATATATATATATATATATATATCTTACTCCTGCCGTGTAGCATCAGTTTTAGTACCATAGTTCGAACGTTGGCGGTCAGATTTCATGAAATTCTTCAAGCACAAAAACAAAGACATTAGGCAGCATCTTGATCAAAACTATTTTAGCTGGTTTGTTGTCTGTTCTAGTATAATGGTCACCAATTACTCTAAAATTTTTATTGGATGCCATGCCCAGACATGTTTGACAGTGTTTTCAGCAATCTATTGGAAATCACTCGTTTGCCTTTATACATTTTAATATCGTGTCAGCTTAAAACACGAGAAGTTAGATTTAGGCGCACCTGTAACGCATGTTCCGGGGCTGCGGATTGTGGGGTTGTTCGTGGATGGCACCCAGACCAACGCCACGGCGGTCAAGAACATGACAACCAAGATGGGCGTTGCAGCACGCCTGACGAAACGAGTCTCGTCCCGACACCGTGGCATGAACGAGAGGGGGCTCCTGCGCCTGCTGCAGGTTTTCGTCGTAAGCCATGCAGCATATGCGGGGGCCTTCCACCACTGCACGTGTGCGGTGCGAGCCAAGATTGACGCCGCCATCCGGAAAGCCTACACGGGGGCCCTGGAACTCCTGCCGGGCAAGACCACGGCGTTGCTGTCTCTGGGAGCACACAACACGCTCTCGGAGATTAGCGAGGCCCAAAGATCATCGCCGCTGAGCCGCCTAAGCAGCATGGCAGCGGGCAGAAGACTACTAGACCAGGCGGGATTACTGCCTCCAGGCGGACGTGTGGGTACAGGACCGTACGGCGAGCTGGAAGAGCAAGCCCTCCTTAGCGACGAAGTGGTGAGGAAGATTATCATCTATCCGCTGCCCAAGAACACTGACCCAGAGAAAGACGAGGGCAGGCGAGCGGCACGAGTGGTGACGCTGGCCCGTCAGCACCAACGAGCCGAGGGTGCAGTCTACGTGGACGCCGCATGCAAGGTATCCTGAAGGCGCAACGACTTTGTAGTGGTGGTGGTCCAAGCTACTACCGGAGAACTGCTAACAGCCTGTACCGTGTGCGTCCGAACAGCCAGCCAGGTGGAGGAGGTGGCGATTGCTTTGGCCATGGGCCTACCGGGTGCGCGCACGGTGCTAAGCGACTCGAAGTCGGCGATCAAGAACTTCGCCCAAGGTACAATCTGGCAAGGCACGGAGTGGATAATCAAGTCCATCGAGGCCACGTGGGCCGCCTGAGATGCCGCTACCGGACCGACCATTGCTTTGAAGTGGTTCCCGGCCCACATGGGTCGGCAACTAGCACTCGACATCGAAAACCGCAACGAAGAGGTAAACGCCGTGGCCCGTGATCTCATTACGTGCCGGAACGCGGCAGTCCGTCCCTCCGAGACCAGCGGAGAAGACCAAAAATAGGACTTAGAGCCCCTCAACGACTACGGCAGGATCATGGTGGCTTACAGAGAAGTCAGGAAACCCTTCCCGCACCCGCACCGAGAACTCTCGCGCGCGGAGACAGTAAAGTTCCGAGAGTTGCAAACCGAGTGCGTGCTGACACCGGCTCTGACCCGGCACGCGTGCCCCGACATGTTCGTGGATGCAAAATGCAGTGTGTGCGAACGTGAACTAGCTACTCTCCGCCACATCATGTGGGGAGGGTGTAACAGTGCTATGCACAGTGGGAATGGGCAGTGCCAGGATGACACGTATCCCCAAGAGGTGAGAGCGTGGATACGCTCCGAAGACCTGAAGACGCAACGAAGGGCCATCCATCGGCTTTAGGAGGTTTTGGCGAAGCAACGAAGAAAAGGAGCCGACGACCCGTCTAACGGGTGCGGAGGCACCCAATTAACTGTCGCCTAGTTGGAGCACAACATCCTCGAAGTCTAGGCTCTGAGATTATCGGACTCTAATAGCCGTAATCTTAAAAAGGGAACATCCGCGCCTAACACAACGCAACGCCCCCAGTCTGGCATACCTCGTAGAGTGGAGGTTTATACACTTTAAAAGACGCACTGAACTTCAATGTGGCATCCATTTTAAAAGCTACCTGAATATTTTAGACGAATTGTATTATAGGTATGACACGAATTCTTTCATTACTGTAAGATTAACTTACACACTTCACGAGCGTGAGCAGTTTTTTTTTTTTGGGGGGGGGGGGGGTTCAATTATACTTTATGTATGTTCGTGCATGCGTTAGTATGTGTGCGTGTATATAATTAGACCCCCCTACCCCCCACCACTTGGCTATAGGTGCCTGTTACACAACACGGCATCGTTGTTGCTGCTCCTTCTTTTACTTACCACAAATGTGAAGCATTTTTTGCGGCAAATTTCGAGAGCTACGATTTTCACCGATCCCCACCGCGGTGGTCTGGTGGTCACGGTACTCGGCTACTGACCCATAGGTCGCGGGATCGAATCCTGGCTATGGCGGCTGCATTTTCGATGGAGGCGAAAGTGCTGCAGGCTTGTGTGCTCAGATTTGGGTACACGTTAAAGAACCACAGGTGGTCGGAATTTCCGGAGCCCTCCACTACGGCGTCTCTCATAATCATATGGTGGTTTTGGGACGTTAAACCCGACATATCATCATTAGATTTTCACCGACATTGGCTGCATCGGTAACTGCGACAGTGATAGTGTTCGTAATTTAAGGGAGTGGTTGGAGCCGGCGCTCAGTTTCTCCACAGGCCGCGACATGTAACCTTCATAGCACGCATGCTGTTGCATCAGCAGTATTTTGCACTGTCTACTGGACTGAGTTAAGAGCCTCACATAAAAGAGCATTCACTATCCGGTAGTTTCACATAAAAATGGGTGGTATTGAAAGTACCTTTTAGATATATGGGGTTTAGCGTCCCAAAAACCACCAAGTGTTTGTAAGAGACGCCGTAGGAGAAGGCTCCGAAAATTTTGACCACCTGCGGTTCTTTAACGTGCACCCAAATCGGAGCACACGGGCCTACAGCACTTTCGCCTCCATCGGTGAGGAAGTACCTGAATTATGCTAAAATGTTCATTTAAGGCGGTCCTGCGACACTTTTCCGAATAACCATCGAATGGCTTCATTAAAGCAATTTATTGCCCCATGAAACGACCACCGCACACATTTTCGGAATCCGTCCACTACGAACAGAGTTAGCATTTATTGCACACTGCAATTGCTTTGTTCTTTCGCCCCCTATGAGTTTGCGGGAAGCTAAGCAGGGAGGGAACGCATGGAGGAAAATGAGTTAAAACACGCATGCTTCAAGACCTCGAGTACTTTTTTTCTTTAAAAACAACGATAGTGTTTCTTGAATAACTTGAACACAGGCATTTTGGGTCTATCTGTCTGCCCTTCTGCCTGTCTGCCTGACCATTCGTCCGCCCGTGTGTCCATCACACGATTCAACCACCCCGGCCCTAGCTTAAGCTCTTCCTGAACGCCCAGCCAACTTCAACAGGTCGCTGTGTTTGAACTTCTGAACATTGTCGTTCAAAAAGCAAATGTTACGCATATTTGAGGCACAATATCAATACGCCAATATTAGGAGGTGTGTTCTTTTAGTGGAAAATACGTATACATGTACTTCTAAAGACCGTGGTGTTTCTTACACTGCTGCGCTCAAAATGCGACGCTATGCACGAAAGAAGGCCGGCAGAAGACTATGTAGTCTTTTGACGACATCTGCAGCGAAGCGCGCAGACACGTGGCCAATTTTCTCTATCCTCCTCTCTCTCTCTTTCTGTTAGAAAGCATGGCTTGCTTTCAGTGTGATCGCGAGCACGCGCGTGGCACGTGGTGGCCTCCCGTGGCGGCCTCGGCAACTGTGCTGCACAAGATGCTCAAATCAGCCAGTGGCCTAGAACATAGCACAGTGATTTGGTTCATGCCACAGGCGACGGGGCAAGCATTCGGCCTGCCCCTCCCCCTGTGCGCTACTTATACCGGCAGTGTAACGCGACTTCGATGATGCCGGTATAACAATGCTATCGAGACATGGCCGCCATTGCGCTCTTTCCTGTCTGTCTACATACCCACGCGCCGAGTGTTAACCCATATATACCCAAACTTAGGAAAATTAACGATACTAATTTGTTTCCCCCAAATGATTTCTTCTGTGACCTCAGTAAACAAAATAAGGCTTTTAATTAAAGAAAAAAATTTTCGAACAATGCTTTTGGAGGCGTCCTATATATAGGACACCAATGTATGACACACCGCTAACAAAAATATTGGCATTTGAAACTGTCGTACGAAAGTTACTGCACACCCAATAACTGCCGAACAATTGACAAAAATATCAGCAGCATCAAGAACAACTTGACTCTATATTATATTTTGTCGCTATATGGCGCTTAGCTACACGCACTCGAAATAGCCATTTTCTGACTGCAAGCACGTGGCTATTTGTAGCCCAGCGATCACCTATACTTGCATTTTACGAGAACAGGGCATCATAAACACACTTTAGGTGGCGCTACCTTTTTTAGAGAAAAAACATTCAAGTTACACTGAAAAGTGTCAGCGTCCTGTATGTAGGACACTGGGCATATATGGGTTAATTCCTTCCCCGTGCACGCAATGGCTTCGCCTTTCCTTACCCTTAAGCTCTTTACTCACCTTCGCCTTGACCGCTTGAACTTCTCGTGAACCAATTCACCACCGCCCGAGGTGCGCTGGCAGCGGTGCTGAGCCCCTCGTTGGCGCTGATGGAGGTGACGCCGTGACGCAGGAAGCCACGTCGTTCGTGCAGGTATGCCCACAGCCACACGATGTACACCGCGATCACGAGGAGCACCAGGACGGCCAGCATGGCCAGTATCCACATTGCCAAGTAGGACTCGGACCGGTGCGTCTCGTCTTCCACCGAGACGACGTCGGCGATCGGCACTTCGTCCGGCCACGTGATGCGGCGTCCTTTCCGCCGCCTGCCACTGCTACCGAGTTGCCGTGCATTTGCAATCATTATTCACAGTGCAGAGGTAGTAGACAAGAGAAAAAGGAACAGCAGGACAGTAAGTTGGCTCTAAAATGCTTACTATTCGAAGTAACGAAGAATATGATAGTGATTTCTTTTGTGTTTTCCTTTCAAACAGGGGGGCGACCAGTGGCCCTCTATAGTCAGTGACAATACGTAAAAAATATTCTCACTCCTCCAACAAATCCCTGGTGTGGCTGCCCTTAATTGGTGTCTAGGTTGCTCCAGCGATTTATTATTTGAAGGCAACGTGCTTTTTAAGTTAGCTGAAATGCTTATATGTCTCATCAGTCAAGAATTCTTGTTCGAGATTAGACGAGACCAGACGACACATCGCAAGATTTTGTCGTCGGCACCAACATTAATAATGCCGACCAGTTCATTTTTAATGCTTCACCTTCTTAATGAACTGCTAACCTACTTAGGTTCTCGGTGCCTGTCTCAACCATGTCGTAAGAAACTAAAGGCTATTAGCGTAACATTGGCCGTTTCAAATTATCATAGAACACCTATTGCAAGGCAGTTGTTAGTATAAACACCATAGTTATTTCCTTTGTGAATTATCGTAAGACCCACTTAGCGTTGTAAGGCAACACGCGCACCTACCCAGCATTGCACGTTGTTGATTGTTCTGCTGCTGAATGATTATTGAAGGGACTAACTACTAACTATATATATAAGTTCAAATTATGCGAAATATTTACTTTAAAAGCAAATTATTTAAATGCGTCAGCTGTTTTGATTCCCAGCTGACGGAAGTTTTCTGCTCTACTTTTTTTTTTGCTTCATCTTTTATTGTTCTATAACGTCATATCCGTGACGGAAATACGTCAGTGAGGCTGTGATGGAACCAGGCATGAAACATGTTCGTGATAAAACAAAAACACACTTAGCAGTGGATCTAAAAATGAAATGCAGGTGATTACGTGCTTCCCATCATGGCTTATCTTAGGTACCTCAGTAAAAGGCGGTAAGAATGGGCAATACATAGATCTTCAAGTGATCCTCGGGCAACATTATTGACAAAAATCTGCATGGTCATATCCTTCGCTATGCTGTATCCTTCGATTGATTGCGGGGGACACTTCTTCTATCCCTCTCACGCACACGTCTCTGGGCAGGCGCACCGAATGCATTTTGCCGTAATACGTTTCGTCGAAAGCCGAAAGTATATCATACCCGGGGGTGAGGAGAATCGGGGCGGACGCTGGGTCGCGCTCGTCGAGTCCTTCCTGATCGAACTCAACGGTGTACTGCGCGTCGTCATTGGCGCCCGCGTAGAAGAATCTCTGGTAGCGAGGGTCCCAATACACGTCAACCGGGCTCCACTCACGCGTCGCTGCAGCGGCTTCCATTTCGGTGCATAGCTGGGGTCGCCTGTGCCTCAGGGGCAGCGGGTTGCCTCGGCTGTACATTGTTGTTCTTGCTGATGTCTCATGCCCACTAAGGGGCATATGGCGTATTTGAAGGCAGGACAAGAAAAACTCTCGCCTCCCCGCACCCTTCTCCACTGTTGTCTGTGTTAGTTAATCAGAAAGAAACAAGCAAATCAGGTGAAGTTTACCTAAGGAGAGGAATCGCGCAAATAAGTAACGAAGAACAAAACTGTTTTTAAGGGAACGGGTAGGAAAGGGGTGTCATAGGAGACTGTTGGGTGGGGCCGCAGGTCCACGGATTCAACGACTTGCGCCGATCTCCTGCTACGTCACTCAGAAGCTCACGGCACGAAAGCATCCGGCTTTGGCAGCCCGCACCACTGATCTTCTACAGTGTGTAGTCGTGGTGAAGAGTAATGCTGGCCTGGAATGAACATAACTTAAATTCATCTTTATTTAACAACATTGTAAGCAGTTCGGAGCAGTGGGATGCCCAACTTGATGGCTCGTACCTAGAAGTGTGCAAAGACGGCTGCCACTGATCAGATTGATTGATAGATTGATTGATATGTGGAGTTTAACGTCCCAAAACCACTATATGATTATGAGAGACGCCGTAGTGGAGGGCTCCGGAAATTTCGACCACCTGGAGTTCTTTAACGTGCACCCAAAGGCCACTGATCAGGGGCTTTATAAAGTTAGAGGAGTCTGTCATGCTTTTATTGTGTTCTCCTGGCCTGAAAGAAGCAGTGACATCAACTTCACACATGTCGCGTTTTTTTTTTGCGTCAAAGCATACCTTATCGATCCCCTAACAAAGATTCTGCACTAGTAATGCAACATAAGGACGAATAAATATTTGTAACATTGATTAGTATGACCAATATCGAAGCCAATTCAAACCAGGTGCAATGCTCACCAATTGCCGGCGCTGCCAGAGCTGCCAAGCAGTCAGCTCCGCGGACACGCCTCATCTGATCACGTGGCCACACGTTGAGTAATATGGAATCGCGGCGATTCACAGTGTGGCGAATCAATTTGGGTTTGATCTTTTTCCAAGCAGTGATGTTGAAATCGACGTAGAACCGAGAAGTGACGAGGCAGCTTCAGACGCGCTGGCTGGTAAAACGTGTGAGCGGTGCGTGCGTGTTACTTGTTCGCGATTACCGTAGCTTGATTGATTTGATTGATTTGTGGGGTTTAACGTCCAAAAACCACCATATGATTATGAGAGACGCCATAGTGGAGGGCTCCGAAAATTTCGACCACTTGGGGTTCTTTAACGTGCCCCCAAATCTGAGTACACGGGCCTACAACGTTTTCGCCTCCATCGGAAATGCAGCTGCCACAGCCGGGATTCGATCCCGCGACCTGTCGGTCAGCAGCCGAGTACCTTAGCTACTAGACCACCGTGGCGGGGCTCCCGTAGCTCCAAATATTCACATTCGTGCTCATGACTCCACGACATATCACCCTAAGCAGCACAGCAAATCCGCAGAATTAACACGAACCTGCGCCAAGAGCCAAACAAAAGAAAGCAATTGAAGTCATTGCTATAGGAAGCCAGGCGTCACTGCCAGATGATGATGATGAAAAACATTTATTATAAAAGAGAGAGGTACGGGGTCAAAGCATGACCCCGCTACATGGTCGGCGTCCTTACGGCACCACATGGCACCGCAATGACAACACTAAAACTGTCGACTTTATCGCTGCTCGCTCATTGCCACTCAGCGCCTGAGGCGTTGCCAAGCAGCTCGTTGAACACGTCAAAGTACTCTCGATTTCTCATGGAAGGGAACGCACGCACCATTGACTCGTTGGACGCACTTTGCGCCCAACAGAGGACCACTTCTACGTGACAGACGTCCTTCATACTTCAGTACGAAAAATTGGCATATCCCACGTACAGTGAGAATCGATGATATGCAAAGCACGAATGAGGAAGGGTGATAGGTCATTTTAAAACCAGCACAACGTTAGGAAGCGGAGGCAAATTATGACGTACATGACTTCCACGTCAATGATTACCATGTCTGAACGTTTCAGTTTACCTTCGTCATCTATTAACGTCACCTGATACCAATTTTCTAGCTAGCTAAACGGCTGCGAGCGTGCTATGAGCATAGCATGTATTCATGTTTTACATGAAATTCATATCATGATTATCATAGTTGGACGCCTCATTTACATTCATTGTCCATTTACGTCACGTAATACCAAATTTGGTATATGCGGAACAACAGGTTTTCCCGCTCAATTTAATCCAAGCGCCAGCCAAATTATTCAAGACGCCAGTCAATTTAATCCAGCTGCCCCTCAATTTGATCAACGTGCCATTCATTTTAATCCAAGTCCCATTGAAATTAATGTAACCACCAGGTGATTTAATCTAGACGCCAGCGAATTCATTCCTGACGACATCGTGACTTCAAGGCGATCCAGAATTTTCGGGAATGCGTGGAGTGAACAGCTTTGGAGTGAATTTAAGAGGAAAAAACGATCAATGAGTCACTAGTGACACAATATGACTCGCGCGATTTCATCACGCCTATCTCCTGCGTGTGCATTATTCACACCTTCGACATACATATCAAAGGAAACGCCGTCCGCACAGTAACGAACTTGACACATATTGCCCAGGCCAATTATCTGATAAATAATAGTGACTCGCGCGAAGTCATCGCACCTGACACCCGTGCAAGCACTCTCTAACCTGCCTTCATGCATATGAAACAAAACGTCTTTGAGAGGGCAATAACTCGAACGCTGTCACTTGGCCTAGTGACGTGATCACTAGGGACTCGCGTGACTTCATCACGTCTAACACCCACGCACGCGCTGTCCTAACCTGTCTTTATGCACATCAAACAAACCGTCTGTGAGAGAGCAATGACGTCATACTTATGACTCGGCCAACCGACTTAATCACTAGTGACTTACGTGACGTCATCACGCCTAACACTCACGCAAGCACTCTCTAAAGTGCCTTCGTGAATATCAAACGAAACGTCGTTGAGAGACCAATAACTTGAAGTCCGTTGCAGGCAGCGTCTGCTAGTAAAAAAGTGACTGCTCGCGCTGCACAGCCGTTCACCGGCTAACCGGTATATGTAGGCACCAGATCGCGCGTTTTGAATTCAGTCAAAGGCGTCTTTACATGGCTTTCGTTTGTCTTGACGCTTTTCTTGACTCGAGTAGATGCGATGGAAGCAACAGTACCTTCAAGCAGCAGTGGGGTACAACCCAACATCAGCGTCCCACCACTTGTTGAGGGCAAAGCTTCTCCTTCATTCAATAAATAGGAATGATAAAGGCGAAATGACAATTAAGCATTTTCCAAACCATACTCAATTACGCAACATTCAACCGATACCCCCACCACTCTGTGACGCATTTACTCCAAGTCGTGTGGGAAGATGTGGGCGGCTTTTTTGTTGCTTCTCGTGTTTCGAAGTATGCCTTGGAAGCGCGGGCAGCCAGTCCGCTTTACGGTGAACGGACAGGCATTCTACACCGAACAGGCACGCTTATTCCAAGCACACATGCCCCGCCACGGTGGTCTAGTGGCTAAGGTACTCGGCTACTGACCCGCAGGTCACGGGTTCGAATCCTGGCTGCGGCAGCTTCATTTCCGATGGAGGGGGAAATGTTGTAGGCCCGTGGGCTCAGATTTGGGTGCACGTTAAAGAACCCCAGGTGGTCGAAATTTCCAAAGCCATCCACTACGGCGTCTCTCATAATCATATGGTGGTTTTGGGACGTTGAACCCCACATATCAATCAATTATTCCAAGAACACTACCCTATAAGAAGCGGCATGGCGTAGAATGTGGAAAGAAAGGCACGAGTCAGGCACACCGTTCAATAGCGCATCAGCAAATGGTCGCTTGCAAATAGCAATAACATGTATCTCAAATACGGGGACGGGACTGCTCTCTTACAACCGCTTAGTTTCACAGGATGACCAGATGAAATATTAGTTGAGCCGTAGGAGTGGTTGACAAATCTTTTCGTAGGAAGTTTTGGAACAGGCAAACTGTGCGTCTTATGCTTGATAATGAATATACAGTGTTATGACTGGAGGCCGGATTATATGCAAATGCCTATTTCGTTTCTTGCGTTTCTATTGTGTCATTTTCACATGTGAGCACCAATTAGAGGGCAAGGAAAACTTTTATAGTGTTTTTATAGTGCCTATAAATGCCTATTTCGGACGTTGTTGTCTGAATTCATATAAGTGCTTGTAAATGCCTGTTTTCAAAATCGATGCCTATATAAACGCTGTTTAACCTCAAATTTTGCTTTCAAGTACCGCTGGAGGGCCAGTGTTCATGTTACCCGGCAAAATGTAGATTTAGGGACACGCTGGGGTGCAAACTACACTTTATTTCACAGGTTAGTTTTAGAACTTGTCAAGCCTACAAGGCATTTTAGCCAGAAGGAAGGTCGATTAGCCTCTACATATGTATCCATCCATGTCGCGTCGTCTGCTCAGCCTCTCTCCAGCGTCTGCTCGGTTGCGTATGCAGGAGGCGCTTCTGTGCAGCCGCAGGAACATGAAGAATGCGAAACTGTGGAGAGTCATCAGGGAAGTAAAGTGCAGATAAAAAAACAATATCTATGTAGTTTTTGTTCTATTTGTCATTTACATGTCGGGCTTCACCTATATAGATGACCTGAGAAATTTTACTTGCACAGTGGAAAATGTTGCGTGCCCAATGAAAAGCTTTGTATCACTAGATTTCTTTAATTTGATCATTAGAAGCTGCGAAAGCATGCTCTGAGGAGGTGAGCTTGAAACCTTCGCACTCACTCGATGTAGACTTCGCAAGCCAATTCCTTTCTTGCTATTAGTATCAGAGCCACTCGAAGCGGCAACATCACACGACGCGCATGAGCCCGTCATGCGCGCGTAAACTACACTCGCACAAGATGCCCATGTCAACCGGTGCGTGCAAGCGGTGTTCAGCCGTCTCGATGTTTTCTGTATTGTACTGCGAGTTTTTGTGGGAAGCAGCAAATGCTTTGACTGGTGAA